CCTTTTTTTTTTTTTTTTTTTTTTTTTTTTTTTTTTTCTTGTGGATGAGCCTCTTATTTTAAATTAAAAGCAAAAGTGCTGATGTGTGGGCTGAGTCTGTGCAGGGAGTGCTTTGGGGCAATGGGCCTGCGCCGGGAGCAGCTGTGGCAGCAGTGCGGTGGGATGGGACATGGCATTTGGGGTATGGTGGGGGCTGTCCCCTTCCATGGGGTTAAGCTGGGAAGGGGTAGCCAACTGCAGGATTTCAGCAAGGAGGAGATGGCAGGAGTGGTTTTGTTCATTTCCTGTTGGAAACAGGATGGGGAGCTGGGAAGGTGCTGAGTCCAGGGACCACCATCGTGGCAGTGGCTGGCACTGGCAGCTGCCTCATTCTCCTCTCCCAGCCTCGGCTGGTCCCTGCAGGCAGCTGAGGCTTTGGCCAGGGCTTGGCCGAGCTGTTTCTCTCTGCAGGGAATAGGGTAGCATTACTTTGAGTTATAGGCCATTGCAAAATAGCACCTCCACTGAGGTAGAAATCAAACGGGGGGAAAGCTGCTGCTGCCCAGCGGTGCTGGAGACAGGCAGGGCTGAGCACGCAGCACGGCTGGTGCGCGTCACCCTGCCCATGGACCTGGGTTTGGGCCGGTGAAGGAGCCTGACAAGACACAGGAAAGGCCCAAGTCTGGCTCAGGCATGGCAAAAGTCTTTCAGGATGGGCAGCTGGTGATGAAAAAAGGGCCCTGGCCAGATATGTGTGTCCTTGGGGTTGGGTGAGAGGGTCTGGGAGCAGGAGCCATCCCTGCCCAGCCTGGCACTGCCAGCTCCAGGCCTGACACCTCCCTGTGTAGCCAGCCAGGCTTTGTGGGATGGTGCGCGTTTCCTGGTTCATTTGGGGTTCTTCTCTTTTTAAAAATATGCATAGCTCGTGTGTGGTTTTGTATTTTACCACCAATTGTATTCACCTGGGGGTGCCTGCTGGAGCTGAGGGAGCTTGGAAGCTTGCTGGAGCCTGGGCAGCAATAAAAAGCATGAGAGCCTCATCAGCTAAACCACGTGGCACTTCGGGCTGCTGAGAGCCCAGACACAGAGGGCAGGTCCCTGGTGTTGTCCCCAGCCTGGGCCACAGAGATGGGTCCCTCTGGCTACAACACACAGTGGTGGGCAACTCCAAAGGGTGCATCACATGTGGGGTGACCCAGGTGTAACAGGAAAAATGCCCAGCAGGGCAGGCGGTGGCTATTTGCTGGGTTTGGGGGATTTGTTTTAGCTGTAATTATTACTAATTTAAATCTGGAGCTCCCTCTGCCTTGATCCTGCAAGGGGGCGGCTGTGTTTGAGCTGCAGCAGGTCCCTGGGAGCTGCCATGTCGCAGGGAATTAAAAGCATCACTCTCCCAAGTGCCAGAGCACCAGCTGCTTTCTCCGTGGGCAGAGCAACCGCTGGGTCAATTCAGGTCAAGCCCTCCATGCGAGGATGGGGGGGTGGGAGTGGGCAGGGCGAAAAAAGCTCCTTTGGTATCTGTGACATGGCCAGGCTCAATTGAAGCCACAGCAGGAGGGATTAAGGCGCTGCTCGCTCACAAGGAAGCCATTTGCTGGCTTAAATCACTTGTTTCAGTCCTATCCTGTAGCTCTGCAGAGAAACAATTCCAGAGCAGGGTCCCTGCTTGCGGAGCAGATGCTGTCCCAGGGTGTGATTTCAGCCGGGTTGTCACGACTGCTCCTGGGGAGAGAGAGGAACCCCCGTGCCTGCGCTCTGCACCTGACCTGGTGTTGGCACCTGCTTGTAATCAGCCTCAAGCTTTATTGCAAGGCTTAGCTGTATGAGGCTGCAGGTTTGAATGTGGTTTTTAGCTTATTTTTAGCTATATGTTTAAAAATTGTTGTGCTCTCACTTGCTGTGGGCAGACCATCACCCAGGCTGTCCTCACTGCAGGTGGGTGTCCCAGTGAGCAGGTGGCACGGGCTAACCTCCGTTTTGAGGTTGTTTGAGCTGTATTATCCAAGGTGTTTTAGCTTAATTTTTGCTCGGCTCCGGGCAACTGTGTGGATCTCTTCTCACCCCAAAAGAAATCAGAGAATGACTAATAAACTTTAAACAATCAGATCATAACTAACCCCATGGACCAGGAGGAGAACAGACTAAGCATTAAAAAATATGTCTTGAAGCACACAAATGCAAGACTGAGGAGCAAGAAATCTCCCTCAACATCATCCTGGTGAAGAGCCCTGATACAGACAGATTGCTGCAACACAAGAAGGAATGGTGCAGGCACTTATGTCTACCCATTTTATTGTGTTACTAATTATCTGGAATATAAATGGAGCGATTCAGATTCTTGTTGTGACTGGACTAAGGGCAAGTGGTTGATGCATCTCTGAAGCATTAATTAGACCAAAAATAAAAGGTAATTCTTGAATCCATATCTAAGGCATGTTCTGTTGGGTGCCAATGCATGAAACATATCCCCTGCAGTTGCACAAGCACACAGGTGCAGGCAGAGCTCACCTTTGCCCAGCCTGGCTCTTGCAAGAGACAAATTCTTGTCCAGGCCAAGAATCTGGGTGATAAAAATGCTCTTTGTTCTGTGGTCTTGCCATTTCCAAAAAATTTCTGCCACACCTCACCACACTGCATTGACTCTCTCCCTCTTCCATTGCACCTTGATCATAAAGGTGAGGTGCAACCCCCTGGAAAAAAGGGGCTTGATCCAGAAGGGAGCTCAGGAAGAAATTATTCTTGGCCATGTCAAAGGGTAAAGGCAAAACTGGCCCCAGAGGTGAAGCCGATCTGTTATTTTGATGGCTTTACCGCACAGACTTCTCCACACCTCCCCAAGCCCCAGAGCTGGGCACGGGGCTGCACATACACCCCGAGCACATGCGCGCACACACACACGCCCACACTGCTTTAGTATATTTTTTTTTCTTAGCAAAAAAATAAAAATTTATTGTCCTCTAAAAAAAAAAAAAATCCATCCTGCCCTTGGAAACTGTGACACAGATTGAGTTCTTTCCAGCCCCACATGCAAATTCACTCTGCCAAGAAAAGAGTCTAAACCAGGTTTCCGACAGCCAAAACACATATTTACAGAGTACGAGAGAACGACAGCTGAAATCACAGTTCTATACATGGAATCAACAACACGTTTTACACACCACCGATCACCATTCTGCCAACTTCTACACGGACTAGGGGCGCTTCTGCCCAGTGCCCTTCCTCCCAGGGAAAGTGGGGAAGAGACTGGTCAAGAATTGCCACCAGAAATACTGCAGTGTGTATTATTATTATTTTTTAAACGTATACTGTATTTGTTTTAACAATGGAAGCTACGGAGTGGGGAAGCCCCAGAAATCTCTCCGATGCAGTCACTGGTTTGCAGGAATATTTCACCTTTAAAATACTAGGTTTTACATCAGTAACATCTATTTTGCTGTTGGCCATCACTCCAAGGATTATTAATTCTGGAGGAAAACACTGGTAATATTCTTCCTTCCCAGATGGGGGAAAAGGAGAAAGAGGAAGTTCGGAGGCTGGTGGAACAGCAATGAATTACTGAGTCCATTCAGTGTTATGGGCTTCCTCACAGGGTAAGGACTTCTCTTCATTGTCTCAGCTGCACAAGCCTTGCAAGTGGCTCAGGTTCAGCTCCAGAGATGTACAGAAAGTATAAAACCCTTCGGCAGGGGATCAGCTGCAGTGGCCCCCTTTGAAGGGGTGGGGGGGATCTGCTTAAGGAAAGTTGTGCTCCAGCTCTGAGACTTTCCCCCAGTCCCTCCTGTGCCACTGTGTCTCTGCCACAGCTGGCCTGCAGCTACATCATCTAAGGCTGGAGATGATCTAAAAGTGGTCCTGTTAGCCCAAAGCGATGCCAAAATTCTTCAGCTCCTGGCTATCACCTACAGCTCTAGCCTTGCTTTTTGATCTCTATCTACCCAGGATAGCATTGTCTTAAGCCATCTGCTTCTATATTGTTTTTCCATAATGTAAAAGTTTATTGACCTTTAAGATACTGTGGTTTCACAACACCATCAAGACTCCCTTTCTGTAGCTTAGAAGTGTCCAACCTGCACAATTAACCACCAAGGTTAACACTTCCAAAGCTCCCAAAAGTTTTGGGAGGAAAATATCATTATCCAAGAAGGAGTCTGTGTGAAGAGGCAGGACCCAGACATGTTCATGGCTGTTCAGTAACAGCCAGCTGGGCTGCTCGTCAAGAAGCCTTGTGGACCAAAACTTCATTTTGAAGCGTGACTCGGCCAAAAAAAGCCCCCTTAGTTCTGATGTGTTACTGTGTGTCCTGTAAAAGGGAGTTTCTGCTTCAGAAGGAAGCTTGACAGTACATTACCGGGGCTGTACGTATTAGCACCAGGTTTATTTCAACAAGACTCTTCTTACACCATACAGAAGCTGACCACAGACTCTTGAGCTTTAAGCGCAGTGCTGTGATGACAATTCATCCTTCCTGCCTGGGGCAGGCAGTAACAACTGCTGGAGGGGGTCAGAAGTGCTGCCTTTTTCCCCTGCTCTCACCTCACTTGGTTATGAAATTGTCATATAAGTGGCCCCCTAAAATATTTGAAAAATATGCAAAGATGAAGTTCTCTCTTCCATCTGATGCTTAAGAAAATAATTCACATTTCAGATTTGTTTTTTTTTTTAAAGCAGCAAATTCATAGAAACCTAAATTTAGGAAGTCTTTCTTAAAGAACCAGAGGAAAGTGAGAATCAGCCTATGTGCTTGTGCAAAGAGAGTGCTGAAATATATTGGGGTGGAGCAAGGGAAGGGGCTAGTGCTAATTCCTTCAGGCTGTTCTGCCATGAGTGCAGTGTGGCAATGGAAAGTTAAAATTCAAGGGCCACAAACGGTTGAAGATTTGAATTCTTTGGTCCTTCAGTATAAGTTTTAAAACAGAGAAACTCTTACTCAAAAGGGAAAAAACATGCTTTCTCTGGCCTGGAATT